GCGACACCTTAAAGGCCGGTCCGTGAAAATATTGTCGGGCATAAACCGGTCCGTGGCGCAAAAAAGGTTGGGGACCGCTGTACTAGACGACCTCATTTTGCAACAAAAAACAAATAACTGAAGTCATAATTTTATCTTATTGGATAAAACAAATATTGGCAAAGATTAACTTTGAAGACACAATTTGCAGTTGAAAAAGGGGATAAATTAAAATGCACGTTATTGAAATACAATAATAAAAAAATAAATTAATTAAAAATATCGTATCATGAGTAAGTGAACTATTGTGATAATAACGCATCGTGGGGCATCTGTTGATTCCCACCTCTTTTGCAACATATGCTCACATTTTAAATCAGTAAGTTTTTAAGCCAATCAGACGTGGTTGAGCAGAAAATGTTGTAAAATCTTGATGATTTGAGATGGGATAAAATTTAGCTAAAGATAAAATTAGCTGCCTTGTAATTAGGCTATCTCCTTCCCTACACTTTTGCTGCTAGATGTCCAAGGTTATATTCTCAGTTCCTAACCCCGGGTTTGTGTTCACATAGTTTACAATTCACAATGGTACAGAGGCATGTATGCGTACCCCCTTTCCACCAGGATCACTTGTCCTTGAAGGATCTCTCTGTCCGTCAACTCTGAGCATCCATCTGCAGGGTCTGCTGGCACGAGAAAAATCTCATCGTAAAATGATGTCTGCGGGTCAAAGGAGAAGGAAAGAGTATGATTAGAGGGAAGGTGAAGTTGTGCACCTGAGACTTTAAAAACATTTGATTATCAAATTATTTAACAGAAGACTGAGGCCTCACGAAAGTGCCTCCAAAGTCTTTAGCAGGTGCAGCACTGAAGAGGTAGCCTATCTCCTCTGGACTGATGACCCGGAAATACAGCAGTTCATTGACCCCAAGAGCTGAAGGAGGTCCGAAAAGAAGCACTTATCATGCGTGACTTGTTTATATCAGAAATATTAATAAACCACAAACACTGCACGGATATGCCAGACAGACACCATAAATAAATGCCACAATAAGCCCCTTAACTCAAGTCGCTGTTGTGCAAAAAGAAATACTTAAAAAAAACAACTCTTGCAGCTAATACGAACAGTTAGCTGTTAATTTCAAACGTTCCCATTTCTGTTTTTAGTCTCACCTGACAGACGACTGAACTGCATAAAGAGACCCCAGAGGTATAAAGCTATCGCTGCTGTTCGACAAACCTTCCCCATGTTCAAGGCATTAGTAAATCTCCCTCGCGTTACAGAGATGAGACTGTAGTGTGTCTCTTTGTGTCTTAAAACAGTGCAGCGTCCATTGTCGCTCTGCTTCTGTCAGATCGCCAACCATTTCCGCCGTTCTCTTTCCGCGCATGCGCATGTCCCAGTTGTAGCTTCTGCTATGAGGCGACTGGGTAAGAAGTTGTGGTGCTCTTTTAGCACCAGTTTTTCAAACTACTGGTAAATGTGTCTCTGTGTTTTATTGTTATTATTATTAACATGCCTGCAAGATGCATATGAATATGTATGATGTTTATGAAGCTGGCAGTTACTTATTTAATTTATCACAATGACCTAAAAGTCATTAGTTGATCTCCCTATCGTGTACAATCATCAGAGACTTTGTTAGGTGCACTTTGCTTGTACTGTCACCTTTTACTTTAAAAACTCCCTTCATTCTTCATCCTCAGAGATTTAGGTTCAATTTGAACGATGGCGCGATATGGCAGCCTCGCTTCTGTCAGTCTGCCCCAGGGCAGCTGTGGCTACAACTGTAGCTTGCCTCCACCAGTGTGTGAATGTGAGAGTGAATGAATAGTGGTATTGTAAAGCGCTTTGGGTGCCTTGAAAAGCACTATATAAATCCAATCCATTATTATGTCCGCATGCATAAATGCACTGACTTGCTGTCATGTGACCAAGTGTTTTAATATTTGCATTAACAAGCAATTATGCAAGTGCACCTAATAAAGCAGGTGTTTTTTCTCTCTTTATAACTTCCTGACCCAAAAAACTCTTGTGTCCTTCCTGACAACTTAATTGCTGTAAGAAATTCAATACCAGAAAAAAAATCAGGTAGAGTGTTAAACTGGAAAATAAGTACCTTTAAATCTAGGGGGAAAGACAAGGGAAAACTATAGAACCACACAGCTTGAGGGGACAGCACAACAGAGGGAGATACACAGGAGGAGAAGCGGGCAGACAGAGCACACCTGGGGAACACAGCTGAACCAAAGTCAGACTGATGAGACAAGGGAAGAAAAACTAAACATAATACACACGAGACTATCAAAATGGAACAGGAAGTAACACACAATGAGACTCAGACTAAGACACGTGGGCTTGAAACAGACATGGAAACGTGACAGATTGGAGAGACAAAGGAGCAAAACACAGAACAGACAGACACGGGTACATGACTGGAGAGACTGAAGGAATGACAAAACACGGATATGAGACTAGGACAGATATGAACAGAAATCAAGAACTATAAATACAAACTTAGAGGCACTGGAAAGTAGCAGGTTGTCCCATTTTACTGTATTGATTTAAACTATTTGCCAAAATGACAGAAATCAAATACCAGTTAAATGAAAAAACAAAAAAATGTAATGCCCTAATAAAGGTTAATAAAGCTCATTTACATGTGAACTATCCACAAGCCTGCATGGCAAAACACAAACATTTATATCTATAACAGACAAGTCAAATACCTCATTAAAGTAAAGTTATTTACATAACGTAAAAATAAATAAATAAATAAAATAAACCAACTAAAACCTTTCTATCATGCTGAATTCATCTGACAAAGATGTAAAGTTTGTCAGTGTCTCTTTAAAGCCCATTTCCAAATGCATTTATAAAATCTTTTAACCAAAGTATTCTAAATTTTATTTGACAAAACAAGCACATTAGTATTTATAAATGATTTCAACTGAAGACATACAAAAATCATAAACAGACAATAGAAAAAAGCTAAAATCAGATCAGTCATAAGAACTTATATGTCCCAAATCGTGTATTCAGTAAAGTCTGCTTTGAAATTTCTTCTTATTACAAACTTTAGTGGGAATAAAATTCCTGCATTTTTCATTTATCTACCAATTCACAATCAACCAAAAATATCACATAAACATTTGCAAATTTTGTTATTTATAAAGTTTGCCATTATTTATAAATGTTATAATATCACATATGTACTATTATGATGAAAAAATCATTTCAAAGCTGGACATTTATAATTATAATTATATAAAATAACAATAAGAATAAACTTAAATACAGAAAAGTTGTTTTTTTTAAAAAATGTTAGCAAATCTTTAAGGGTTTAATATCTCCATAACTGGTAAATGAAGGATATATGGTTTGTAAGGGAATTAATTGATGATGTCATGTAATTTATACATTTAAAAAATCAAGTATAAAATCCTTACCATCCACAGTATTGAATCTCGACTCAAAATCAATATAGTTTAATAATTACATTTCATATATAAATCTACTCTCACCAAATGTATACACTAGACCACTATCAATCACTGTCCATGTTTTATTGTGGATAATATTTCCCACTTGAGTTAGCGTGCTTCTTCCTTTTTCTCTTCTCTTCCTTGCAGTCATTGAAAACCTCAGGCGACAACTCTGGGCAACAATATTTTTCAGTTTTTTTGCATCGGCATAGTCGATGTTTTCCAGTTTTCACCTGCAATGAATCAATGACGAATTATTATGTCTGAAATGATAATGTGAACATTTCAAATGCAATGCTTCGTTTACAAATATTAGCAGTCACACCTATTCAAGTAGTAAGTAAGTAAAGTTTATTTATTAAGCGCTTTTGGTAGACAAGCAGTCACAAAGCGCTGTACACAAACGTCAAAATAAACAGAATGTTAGGTACCAAATTAGGCAATATAGACAATACAAAAGTAATACTGCATTCACACTATAGCACAATATTTTTGTGCTATATTTTGAGGGGTTTGTGTGTCCCAGGGATCCCACGGCTATGTTGTCGGGGGCTTTTTGCCCCCTGGTAGGGTCTCCCATGGCAAATTGGTCCTGGGTGAGGGACCACACAAAGAGCGATTCAGAAGACCCCTATGAGAAGACCATCAAGGGAACAGGGTTACCGGGGCCCCGCCCTGGAGCCAGGCCCGGGGAGGGTGCCCAAGGGTGAGCGTCTGTTGGCCGGGACTTAGTCCATGGGGCCCGGCTGGCCACAGCCCGTAAAAGGGGGCATAAGCCCATCTTCCTGCAGGCCCACCACCTGCAGGAGGCACCGTAGGTGTCAGGTGCATCGACCTGGATGGGCGTGACTGGGAGAAACGGCCTGTTATTGGACTTCTGTGCAAACCACAGTTTGGCCATAACGAACACCATGTTCGAACATAAGAGTGTCCATAAGTGCACGTGGCACTAGGACACTCAAGGCCGCAGGTCAATGATCAATTTTGAAATCGTATCATCAGACCTAAGGCCATATGTTCTAGACACTTGGGTAAAGAGAGGGGCTGAGCTGTCAACTGATCACCACCTGGTGGTGAGTCGGATGTGGTGGCGTGTGAGGACACTGGACAGACCTGGTGCACCTAAACATATAGTGAGGGTGTGCTGGGAACACCTAGCAGAGGCCCCAGTCTGTGAGATCTTCAACGCACACTTCTGGCAGAGCTTCAACAGCATTCAAAGGGAGACTGGGGACATTGAGTCTGAATGGACCATGTTCAGCATCTCTATTGCCAAAGCCACTGTACTGAGCATGCTGCTGCAAGTTGCTTGGTGCCTTTCGTGGTGGTAACTCCTGAACCAAATGGTGGACACCAGAGGTGAGGGGAGCCACCAAGCTGAAGAAGGAGTCCTATTGGGCTTGGTTACCCTCTACAATGTTGCATGGAGATCAGGGGCAGTACACCTGGATTGGCAGACCGGGTTGGTGGTTCCCATCTTTAAGAAAGGGGACCGGGTGATGGCCTCAAGCTCGCTTTGGAACGGTTCGCAGCCAAGTGTGAAGCGGTGGGAATGAGAATCAGCACCTCCAAATCTGAGGCCATGGTCCTTAGCCAGAAAAGGGTGGAGTGTGCACTATGGGTCAGGGATGAGTTCTTTCCCCAAGTGGAAGAGTTTAAGTATCTCGGGGTCTTGTTCACGAGTGATGGGAGAAGGGAGCGGGAGATCAGGAGACGGATTGGTGCTGCGGCTGCCGTGATGCAGACGCTGTACCAGTCTGTTGTGGTGAAGAGAGAGCTGAGTGTAAAAGCGAAGCTTTCAATTTACCGGTCGATCTACCTCCCTACCCTCACCTGTGGTCACGAGTTGAGGGTAGTAACCAAAAGACAGAGATCACGGATACAACTGGCAGAAATGGGCTTCCTCTGAAGGGTGGCTGGCCACGCTGAAGAGATTATATCTCTTGGCTGGCCTGGGAATGCCTTGGTGTTCCCCCTGACAAGCTGGAGGAGGTAGCATGGGAGAGGGACCTGGCCTCAAATAAGAGGAAGAAGATGGATGGATGGATGGATGGATGGAGTTTTCAGTATGCTAACTACTATGTGAAAATCAGTATGCTCTGGTAAAGCTTTGATAACCTTTCTTGGATTTTACTGTTAAATATTCCTGGCTGAAAAAAAGCTAAAAAAAAATTCAAATTGTATTGTGTGTTGAATATATGTATAAATTACTTGTGTGTTGTATCTATTACAAGAATTCTTTGTCCTTTACTTTTGAAAGTTGTCATTTTTTAAGCAACCTAATTGCAAAAACTGATTAAACAGTATGTGGTAGGAGAAAAATGTAAAACTTGTTACTATTGCTGGAAATAGCAATATGTTTTTGTTTAAATCAATACGGGCATCTGTACTACCATAAGGTCTACATTCACACAAGCTTATCTCTGGGAATGATGTGTTTAAATGAAAATATTAATATTTTCTAAATAATATTCTAAATTTAAAAAAACTTTAAAGCATTTACATTTGTTTCTCAGTATCAATCCTAAGAACTTAACAGTGCATGTAACTTATCAATACAACATAAGACATGCACTTATAAATAGGCTATAGTTCAGACATGTATATAAACTATATTTTTATATGCATGTATATTCCTCTTCTTTCAGCTGCTCCCTTTGGGGGTCACCAAATTGAAATGTGATGCAGTTAACTATGAAAGGAAAACTCAGTAGACCTACATGCTTCTAGTAACTAAAGTTTCATGACAAAACACATAAGTGTAGGTTTAAGTACCATTGCGTTACAGAGGAATTCTAGAGTTTCTTTTCTGTTTTGGTCAGTCACTGCACGCATGACATGAGCAACACATAAATGAAGTAGGAACGTATAAAAGGAAGGAAGCTCAAAGCTCTTTTAATAGCATGCTGATTTGCACTGTGGCAAACCACCAAATACACAGAAACGCCAACTCACTTGCACAGAAGTAACAAGAACATAAAGAAAAATGTGTGACCATTGCTCAAAGTTCAGCCTATTCAATGGCTCGTTCAAACTTCTGATTCATGTTTGAGATTGTGTGCTACGCAGATTTTCCTTAACCTTGATGTCCTTAAATGAGCAAAACTATAGAAACCCTTGAAACCTCAGCTGACTGCTAAATATAATTTCACAGTGAATCACACACCCGTCTGTGTTTTAAGTTGGGGCTGGAAGGCTAACAGTAGGTTTAAATATATTTAGTGTCTACGTACATATTTAGGTTTCCATTGACTTTCCCACAAAAATTTGGTCTTACTAGCCACCTATTTGGGGAATAATAGTGCATTTTTGGTCTATAATCGTGTTTACTTTACTTACTATATATGTAATTTCAAATAAATAAGTATAAATAAGCATTTAAATAAATAAAAGTTTGTGTCTTAATAAATAAAATCCTTATAACAAGTGTGTTGGACAGATCCTTTGAAGTAAAGACAAAACAAACCAAGTAGAAACAGGAGGAACACATGGCAAAAAACCACAGGGACACGAGAGGACATTGCAGATTTGTAAGAAGAGATAACGAGCAAAAGCTGACAGTGGTGGACTCAGATAATATCAGTAGGTTACATTTTTCCAGGGAGTCCACTGACTCCAGTTGGAGAGCACCAGTGAGTCTCTGGAGCGAACCCTGAGCTTGCTGATTTTCTTTGGTATCAGAGTAGATGATGAATGTCCGGTCTAAAATCAGACAAGAGATAAGAGATCAAAATGCAGTGGCTATAATGACAGACATTTAGATCTCATAAGATTTTGTTTTAGTGTAAGATTGTGCATACTTGGCCATCATCTCTAAGCACATATTCAATTTGGTGCTCCAGACTGAAGAAGCTGTAAGGTGCTGACCAGGTGGATGGTGGAGCAATGGTCACATTCACGTCCTCGTTCACTAACTCACACTTGACAATCTGGGGACTGTCAGGTTGAACTAAGAAGAAGAAGAAACAGTAAATAATATCGTCCATGTGTGTATATAAAACAATAATTTCAACACAAACATATGTGTATATATATTTAACATGAATCCATTTGCCTTTAGATTCAGTTAATGCATTAACGTTACTGTTTCACTTAAAACTTTATCATGCATGGACTGCATACATAGACTTTCTTTTTCATCAGAAAATGTTTTCAAAAGGGAAAAGGTGCTTTGTAGTTGATAGTCTTCTACTGAATGCCATTGATGTAGCTCAGTTTTACTCAGCTTACCAATGTCTCTGAGATAAAATCTCTTCGATGTTCTGAAAACGGACAGATCGCGTATAGCCTCAGCAGTGAGTTCAAGCATGGTGCTTTCCTCTGCGTAGGGTGAGAGGTCGTGAGACATCTCAAACTGCAGTTCCCCCTCTGCGAGCCGCCGACTGCTACTAATCCACTGGCAGGACTCTGAACTTTTACTGCTAATAAAACAAGCAGTAAAAAAACAAAACAGAAAACAAAATATAACAAAAAAATCAAAAATACACACATCTCAGGTGATTCGTCTAGTTTGGGCATCTTAACTGTAATTTGTCTAGGTTATTATTTCTTTCTTTCTTTTTAAGTTTTAAAATTTACCAGTTATGACCCAGTCCAAGACGCACTGCTGTGTATCCATTGCCTGTCCAAGTGCAGTTGAAGTTACAGTCATAAGACTTTGCCCGACAGTTAATGAGAGAATCTGTAATGATAAACAATATCTTTAAATTCTAAAGTAATTTAAATGTTTGGGTGAAAAATGACAGCAAACATCACTACATTTTGTAAAATGATACTTCACAGAATGGTTAACTTAAAGCCCTAATCTCACCTACTAGAGAGAGAGAGAGAGAGAGAGAGAGAGAGTGTTTTACCCAAACTGTCAGGCAGTATAAAAGTGTCTTTATTAGTGCTATATGTTGACTGTGCATTAGCAATATAGGTTCCCCTAGTTGAAAAAGTCCCATCATTTAGAGCATGTGAATGGTAGGATGAATGAAAAATGAAAGAGAAACTCACCAATTGTGTCTTCTTCATCAGCCTTCAGCAGCAGATAGGTTGAGGATAGCATCTCTTCACCTCTCCAGCAACTGTAGTCACCCAAATTTGGTGTATCTATATCTGACACGGTCAGGTTCTGACCATTTAGCTCTACATTTTCTTCATCTTCCAGTGGATCGCCATTCAGCTTCCATGTGACGATGTCGTCAGGTTTTGAATTGCAGGTCAGTGTGTAATTTTCATATCTTTTTGCCACCGCAACTACACAAAGATAGAGAAGATAGACAGATAGATAGACAGAGAAGAAGTTAGTAGATGAACATTTTAAACCACAAATGAATATTAGGAAAATGTTTGGATCATAAAAAAAGACACACAGTTTTCTGGAAAGTGGTTGAGTTCGTGAGCTCCCGTGAGGCTGATCATTAGAAGCCCAAATGTCCACAGTGGAAAGGTCATCTGAGGAATTGTGTGACAGCAAAAAGCATTTATTGAAAAACAATTCATCACTTGCATTAAAATAAGTATCGTGTGATTTTTAGTGAAACAATATGTAAAGTGACTCATGGAACATTCAATTGGCTCAAAGTTAATTTAGTTGAGAAAATGCATTGAAAATAGGTAATTTGCTTCTTATTCTGTAATATAGATATGAAATTAAACTAACTAGAATTTAATTTATATATATGTATAGATAGATAGATTTATATCTGGAAAAGAACTCACCCTGAAGTGATGTCAAAAGCAAAAGTGCAGACGTTCTGTCACCGCGATCTTGATGATTGTATGGTCTAACTGCCCACAGAGCAGCAACTTTATATTGCGATGCATGATACACATCATCGACACCTCCACCTCCAATGTGACACTTTGGGAGAGAGAAACTGACCGATCTAGTAAGTGATAAGAGTATGCACATTTCCTCTATACTGCTTTGCATGTCAAATTTTTTTACACAGTGAAGCTGTGACTTTCGTACAGGGGACTAAAAGATAAGAAATGTGGGTGTTCAGTAGGGTGGGGGGTTGCCCTTAGCCTTTAAGGTGAAATACAACAGTATAATACAATGTTTGATAAGTGCTTATCTGAGAATGGATTTAAAAAATCATTTTTAAAAAACTATTGCAATCACAAAAACAGGACACACAACACATTTTATGTTCAATATTAATGCGACCAAACATTTTCTTGGTTGGCTCTTTATGTGCTAACACGCACACAGACACACTGGTTCCTGCTTCTCAACTTTCAGTTTTTATGTTGGTTTTTTTATATAACCAGGGCTGTAAATGTGGGGCAATAGCACTCCTTGGTATCAGTCTATGCAACCTGTGAATAGAACAAAGAAGCACTGATCTTTCAGTCATCAAAAGCTAATGTAATACTATAACATAAACAACATTTTTTTTAATTCAAAGTCTTTTGAGAACAGGCTCAACCCTATTGACATTAATAAATACAGCTGGTAGCAAAAAAATATATCAGTCACTTATGATTAAAAAAAAATAAAGCAGAATAAATGTGACATTTATGACTAGTAACCACCCATATCCGATCAGACAAACCTGGGCTAAAGGGTGCATTTTTTCTGTATTGCTCTGAATCACATGCTGACTTTGCTACTGATGTTAAGAAATCCATGATCCACAGTAAATGCCTGTTTTTATAGTGTTTCTCACAAAACAAGCCGCTAAAAAATGTTAGAGAGGTTACGAGAACAAGCTATTTTCACTATTTCCTCGCTCTTTGCAGTCAGAATGATTGCTCAGCTCATTGCAAAACATATTATGAGATTAATCCAACAAAATTGCAAAACATAAGTGGAACATTTCTTTTTATTAGCTGCTTATATGTACACTGTCTTTATTGTAATTCCAGACTGAAATACCAAAAAAATGATCTAACATTTCTTTGATCAGATAAGCAAGACAGACCAAAACTGTTCTTTAAGAGGTTTCCCCCCATGATATTATCATTGTCATGCTCCCAAAACCTCAAAAACATGCACACACATTACACCGGAAAGGAAAGACGGACACAAAACAGGACTTTCCCTCTCATTAGTCATGTAGACCAAATGTCAGCTATGACCTAACTAGACCTTTAACTAACACTTTGGTCATGTTTTTTATTCTCGCACATACTATGCACACATCAAATGCTCCCGTCATATCTTTAACTATGTGAAAGGTACTTCCACAAAACTGTAGACGGCTGTATTATTATTGGGTCTCAAAAATCTTTTCTGCCTTTCTACATGCTGGTTAAGGTTAACAGAACCTATGTCCAATAAATTCAGAGAAAATTGTTAGGCACTTTGAAAAGAAATCGTTTCAGGTTTCAGTTCCTCAAAAACCTAAAAAGCCGTATTATTCATTAATCATCTTTCATGCATAACTTCAAAGAGCTGCATAGTCACAGTTGCTCAAATTATTTCATACTTTTGTGTTTTTACAGTTTATCATACAATACTTGAACCTAGTTTCTACGACTGAACTTAAAGCTTATTTTGATCAGTTATTCATTTAATGTGTATATATTACATTTCAACTTCAGCTTAAGAAATTTACAACTAAAATGTTTACTTACTAGTAATTGGACTTTAAAGGTCAATCAAAGCTCATAAAATAAGGTAAAGTTTTAAAGTCCCAGTTAATTCAGTGTTACTTCCGCATGAACCCCAAAACTGAAAACATTTGTATCCACTCCACATTCAAAACTGTGCCAAGCTCTGATCCAGATAAGATTCTGACAAACAGAAAAAAAAACACTATGTCAAGTGTGTTGTCAACATATTAATAGTGATTAAAAAAAATTAAAGAACAGAAGTACACAACACTGAAGAGGAAAGAGATGTTTTTTTTTGCTGTAAATGAGTGGAATTCTCTAACTTTATAGACCACATGTTCTATTTACATTAGTGATGGATGCCTTTTATTCTGAATAGAAAAAAACAACAAAAAAACACTTAAACACACTGGGGAATCCAGAAGAGGGGCTTAATATGGTACTTTCCATATTAAGAGGAACAACACTGCCTGTTTATAGAAGCATATACAGGTATTTTTCTACCCTGAATGTGTTTGTTTTTAACCTTTAGGATTATCAAACAACTAGAAAGAGATAAATATCATTTCTGCCTACACATGCCTCCTAATAGGTTACACACTTAACATTAGACTTTGTGTTTGGCCGCAAGCATTTCAAATGTACTGTGGGGACAGCAAAAATACTTTTCTTTTGAAATTTGAAAAAAAACAGCCAAAGCATATGAGAAATGAGAAAAGTAATTTTTATTACATGATTCATTCCACCATAACATTTTTCCATGTGTGGACATCACAATGCAGAAGAGGCAGCGTGAGAAATAAAAAGGTTTGCACATTCCACTTAAATAATTTCACTCGTACTGCAGAACAAGTGACACGAAGGGCTTCGTAAAAGCTTCCACAAAAAGCTGATTTTACTTGTTTTATACCAACTGTAACACTTTGTGAACACAAAGCAAAAACAGATGAACAAAGCTGATGAACCTTCTGTGCCAAAGCACAGCGAGCCAGAAGGTTTTCCAAAATGTTTGCTGGTGGTTGTTAGTTTGCTTCATCCTTTGAAGCCTCATCAAAGTTTTCAACGAGATCTGAAAATGGAAAAGGGAGAATAGAGAGGGGTGTATAGCAGATCAAGACAAAAAAACAAAACCGTTGCCCAAGTAAGAATAAGCCCTTAGACTTAGAATTGGTGGCAGAAGCCTGCCTTACACTCATATCCACATATGTTACTAAACATTTTAAACCAAATAAGGGGACATATATCCCATGTGATCAAGTCCAGGATAGACAGACTTGAATGTGATGGTTATATTTTCTTACCTGGAACTTCATCATCTTCCTCTTCAGCAGCAACCATGGGAACTTTGTTGTCTCCTGGTGTTTAAGAATGCGGGGAAGGAGGAAGACAAAGATGTTGAGAGAAAGAATTCAAATCTACTGCAAACAAACAGGTCAAGAAAAGAGCAGTGTGGGCACCTGGTTTAGGCAGATTCTCTGCTAATCTCCGGAGGCTGGTGAGACTGTCAGCTCCCAGCTGGTTTAGGATTCCCGGGAGCATCTCTGTGATCTGTTTGTTCTCAGCGTGTCCTGTGATTGTAAAAGTGTTGGCAGCCAAGGAGGCCTGAACCTTTGGGTTATTAAAGTGGATCACTGTCCCGTGGTTTGTGAACATATTCACCTGAAGTGGTGGTGGGGTGGGGAGTGGGGGAAGAAAACAGTTTAAGGTAAGTGTAAAAGAAGACAATGCACAGTCCAAACACCCTTTCCCAACCATCTCTCGGGTCCTCATCAGCTGACAACTGGTTTCCACTCAGATGGCTTACACCACAGATTCTTTTATTTCCTTAAAAAAAAAAAGCTTATCTAAAATGTTGTTTTGTTCCTCAGAACCAATGAAGTTTAACATTTAAAAAGTACTTCAGTATCTTAACATTGCTTATTAATAAATTTCAGCACTATAAATCCATTAAATGTGAATGACTGCCTATGCTGTGCTGTACATTACAGAAAGAACCTGCTGTACCTCTTCAATGCCAGAGATATTGTTGACTCCCAGTTTCTTCAGGGAAAACTGCAGCTTCTTATCATCTGCTGTAGCCGTTCTGTGCACCACCTTCTTCTTTCTGCGAGCTGACCCCTAAAGAGCAGAAACGTTAGAGTCGATTTTAACTCACGACTCAAAGATTACTCCCAGTTTCTAGCATATGAAACCGACTCACCTTGCCGCCTATGCGGACCTGAGCCTGCAGTTTGGCAAGCTTTTCCTGGTTCATTATCGACTCCTTCATCTAGTGTTAGACACAACAGATATATATAATAAAAGGTAGGTTAGTCTGGCTGTAAACAGTTCTTTTTAGTGTTTCCAGAAATTACTGTAGAATCTTTGTATCTTAGAAAAGTTGCCAAGAAAAGCCACCTGGGATTCAGTGCCAAGTGCCTTACTCACGAATGTCAGTCATTTGGGGGAAAAGAAAAGAAAAATCTCCCTTGACACAATTACTCAGAACTAAATTTGGTTAACTACTCATTTTTCATTTAGAGGCTGAGCAAGATGTGGGACTCGCGAAAATATAAAACATGCAAGTTTGTATGAAGGATCTCTCTGGATACCCTTATGACTAACACAGAAGCAATTTCTAAAACTATACGCCATCAATCGATGACATAAAACATGAAAACGGTAATAACGAAGTGCCAACTTCAAACTTCCCCAACTCCCGACCTGAGCTATGTTGTCTCAAGAAATTAACGAGAATGCACAACTGTCCCGGCCAAAAATAGCTGCACACCGCAAGTCTCGGCTGAAGCCCTTCATGAATCAGAGGTGGTCAGCTGAAGTCAGTGCCCTGAAACGTCATAAACCCGCTTTCCCAATATGTTCTTACGATGCAAACTTCTGCTTTTTGATCAAACTCTGACGGCATAACACTTATTTAGTCTAACAATATTCACAAATTATGTCAAAGGAGCTACCGGCTAGTTAGCAATTCGAGCTAAACAACTAGCCCAGGCCTCTTAAACTGATGTTAGCATTCAGGTACAGCTGATGCCGTCATTGCGTTAAAACCCGTAATACAACTGTGGAGGGGATGTTCAAACGTCAGGAGTCAAACTTTATGAGTCTAAGACATCTAAAAGGGGTAGACGGTAGTGAACTAACCTGAGAGTGTGTAAACACGCGGGTCACACCGTTGATAAGGGACAGGAAAAAGGAGCGAAAGCCGGAAGTGACGCATTTAGATGCCGGATGGCAAAAAAGCTTACAAATATGTCCAGTGATTTAAAAACAGCGTTAATCCCAGTGTTATCGAATAAAAAATAGTTAAAAACTTAGAAAACAGCTACTTTTAATGTAGTTAAAAATATGGGATACTACTGACGATGATCAGATTTCATTAGCAGAAAAATACATATATTTACTTAATATCCAAATATTATCATTCTATTAGCTTTATTACCAATCACACATATTAACAAAAATACATATAAATATAAAGGCTTTCACTTTAAGTATTCATTCAGTGAACATTTTACGGTATTCCACAACGGAAGTAGTCACGCATGTAGTCATGGCGTCCTCCTGTTCACGAGAGACAACGTGATTACTCGATAACATGAGAAACTTTTTGTTTACTTAGACAGCCAATATCAGTATCATCCAATTTCAGCATATCATAAGAAAAAACTACGTTTGCACTTCTGGACTTTTTCACTTGAAAGGTGAGAACCGTCAGAGCTCAGTTTAAAGAAAATGCTAGCTGGCTAAAGTGCAGTGTGCTAGCTAAGTTGTGCCTTACTGAACACGTTGGGCCACTGTCCGAGTAATTAACTGTGTTTGATTTGAATGTAATAACTTTGTAAAACTTTCAGCTATTCGAAAAAAAAAACTGCATGTCTTCCATTGTTATGTACAACAAAGCGTTACAGTGAAGTAAAGTCGTTAGGTCGCCAGTTCCAATCTCGGGAAGGTCTCATATTCGAAGTAAAAGGTGGAGAGCACTCCAATACAGTCCGCGTTGAACAGAAAAAAGGTTTAATTTAAAACTGTTTAAATGTTGTTGAAAAATCACAGTGACACTGTCACATTCTGAATTCTGCTGTACTCCCAAACTGAAGCAAAATCATGTTAATGTTATCGAATCTGTTACAATCGAAATAGAATTTACCGTTTTAGACAAAAATGTACGTTTGGATATTGTTGGTCACAAAAGGAGTTCTTGTTTTTCTACCTGCAGTTTTTAAGAGTAAATATGTATCCCTGTTTTTATCCCTTATTTATCTTCACAGACGTAAAGTGATCAGCACAGAAATGGCTTCATTTAAACCCACAAAAATTCAAGTTTATCCAAAACTTGGAGAGAAAGTCACCCAAGACACACTCTACTGGAAAAACTACAAGGTAAGACTTTTCTCTCCTATGCGGCTTATTATCAACTAAAAATGTCCTTTATGGTATAATCACTATTTTGGTTTGTTTATTGTCCCCTAAAACTTGTTATTTTAAGACCATTCTATCTCAGTAATGCGTCATTGTCAATGTAATAGCTTAATAACAGAGTTACACTTTTCAGAAGACTAACTCTTCAGCATATTCAGACTTTGGAATTGGACTATGAATAAATAACAAAATATGTTGAAAGAAAATGACTAATTTTAATTACTTTGGCACTGTGCTGTAGTTGTTTGCACTTCGCCTCACAGTAATATGTCCAAAAACATGCTTAACTGGTGATTCTAAATTGACCATATTTTTTAATATTAACCTGATTGGTTGTCTCCATGTTAGCCCTGAAACAGATTAGTGATATCAGATAAGACAACGGAAAGAAAATGGATGGATGACATTTACTAATAATTGCTTTAAATCCTTTTCTCGTCTTACTTTGTTTCTCTTCCTACAGGCTCCAGTCCAGATAAAAGAATTTGGCGCAGTCACAAGCATAGACTTCTCCCCGGTGACTCCACATAATTTTGCTGTGACAGCATTCACAAGAGTATGTTAGTTTTTCTTGTATTAATGTAGAATTTTCCACTCAGTTTAATCTGGGTTCACTTTAACAATTCTGGCTTATACTTGCTTCTTAATGAGTAATAAACTTTTAAGTATGCAGGATGTGTTTAAGATGTCTTCTAATTCAAACACTCATTTTGTTACAGATCCACATTTATGGGCCATTTTCCCAGGAGCCTGTCAAGTCATTTACCCGTTTTAAGGATACAGCTTACTGTGGGAGGTTCAGGTCAGATGGTCAGCTCCTTGTGGCAGGATGTGAGGACTCTGTCGTGCGACTATTTGATGTTAGTGGCAAGGTGGCCCTCAGGCTGTTTAAAGGGCACACAAAGTAAGTTTTACGCAAGCCTCTGTCTGACTGTGACAAAGTGTTCTGTCATAGGATTTAAAGGAAGGGTTACAAAATAAGCTTAATTTCAACTTGCTGATGCACTTTGAGGTTACTACTATTCTTGGCACTCTAACTATCATCTAATTGGCTATGATGGCAGTTAGGAGGAAATGCCTGTGTATCACATTTTCTTTGCTCACTTTCAAATCCACATATAGCCTCTATAGCACTAATGTTGAAGGAACCAAAACAAATCATCACTATTTAAAGTTTGTGGTTTACAGCATGTTGCTGTGTGGTGTTTTTATCTTTAATAATAAAATGTGAGTGAATTGTTGAGGATTCTTACTTTCAGCAGCCTAATTTCTTTCCTTATGTCACTTTCACCGGTAGTTACAAAAGTAAAAATCAAAACATGTTACTAATGACTATTGCTGATGATTTATTTTATTGTTTATTCAAACATTTTTGACGATTTCAAACTTAATTTTAGTCTTATTGGTTATTACCTGTTCACCTGCAATACTTTTATGACCCACCAGGTGGATACTCTCCACATTAGAAATCAATGGTCTACCACTAAAACCATAATGCTGATGTCCTGTTAAAATGTCTGATTGGCTCTGATGAGCTGGCAGTGTCTTATGAGGTTGTTTTTTTTAGTAAAGGAGTAGTTGAATGATGATTTCTTGAGTGATCCATCGACTGAATTTGATGATGACATCAAGAATTCTGACAGCCTGTATTTCTGTCTTATAAAAGTGCAGTCTCAAACGTGAACTGATATTAATCATGTCATTTGTTTTTTATTTTTTTCCCAGGGCAGTACATTTAACAGACTTCACCTCAGATCGTTACCAGATCCTCACAGGGTCGGATGACTATACTTGTCGACTTTGGGACATTCCAAATGCCACTGAGCTCACCACCTACACAGAGCACGCAGATTATATTCGCTGTGGTGTCACAAGCAAACTCAACAGAGATCTCTTCATAACTGGTGAGATAGAAGCTCATTTTTAATTGTGTGTGGAAATATCGAGAGGAGGACAGGAAATTAACATTTTGCACTGTTGGCATCAATCACACTCATTTTATATTTCAATTTCGAGTGCAATTTTTACCAACAGTCATGTAATGAAAGAAAAACATCTCCTGCACCACATAATGGAGGATTCAAGCAACGAACAGTAATCTCATTAATGTAATGTTAAGACAGAAGTACACTAATTCATATTCAAAGTCAGTAACTGCAGAAAAACTACATAATCTCACTCCAAATGCTACCATCTATTGTTGAATCAAGTGACGCTGCAGATGGAAGTATGTTTACAAGGATGAAAAGGTTTGGCCTGATTTTGTGTGACTAACATTTGATGCTCTTTTTCTAGGATCATATGACCACACAGTGAAACTGTTTGATGCCAGAGTGGAAAAGAGTGTGATAACCATGGACCATGGCCAGCCAGTGGAGAGTGTCCTCCTCTATCCCTCTGAGGGACTTCTTGTGTCTGCAGGTAGTCACCAGTATAATTCATATAATTCAAACAATGACTGTCTGCTGAGCTAATTTTAAGCTTCACACCTTTTTTACTTCCTGGAATTAGTTGGCATACGTTTAGTCATCTGCAGTTTAAAATAATCCTTGTTTATCTTGCACTGGGCCTAGGTGCTGCCCCTAGTAATAATCTATTGTCTGGAACTAGACATGGCTACGAATAGCCTACCTTTAAGCCAGTACTCTTCTTAGTAGATGGATGGAGCTGCTGTGCTCACAACCCTTTTATGAAATGACAATTTGAAGGATGACCGACACAAGTAGGAGAAAACTGTCTAAAACTGACCACTTAAACCCGGCTAAAACCTGGGTCTGTTTGCCTATACGGATTACCTGTACATATGCTGACTTCATTATTTGAAACTTTGGCCATGTTTAATATGAGCATCCACCATCCTAACACTACATATATTGTAGAAAATAAGGAAAAGCATCATAGACCGTGATTTAATGATTTCATTTTTATGTGCCAGTTCTAAGGCTGAATAAATGGGAAAGTCGTGCCAGGAATGGTATCTGGTGTAAAATCTATGCCAAATTATCCAGCTGCTATGGCAACTACTTGGAATAACTAACTTGTGTTAAATATTTATTTAGAACTTAATTTTCTTGGACTACAACATAGGGCAACAACAGCAGTCCATTTCATGCTTCACTGTGGCTGCAGTTCAGACAAACGTTACAATATTTTTATTTTATTACGTGCCCTCATCCACAAACCCTACATTATATTTAATCATGGTTAACCACAGCATTAAAAAACCTTCAATCCCTTTTTTTTCAGGAGGGCGCCATGTGAAGGTTTGGGATCTGCTAAAAGGAGGCCAGCCTCTGGTGTCACTGAAGAACCATCACAAAACTGTCACAAGTTTGGCTCTCAGCAGCAACGGACAGAGACTGCTGTCAGCTTCTCTTGACAGGTAAATGTCAAACGCATGCACGTCTGTCATAACAAAGAAAGAGGAAATGTTCTAACTGGTGGAATCAAACGTCACAATGCTGAATATTTAGTTAATAGTACATGTGTAAATCATGTGCTTGGTTTTGTTCTGTGTACCTAGGGCGTTCATGAAAGGAAAGTTGATTTAATGCATATCCCGTGTTTGTCTTTCAGGCACGTGAAGGTGTACAACACAACAAACTACAAAGTGGTCCACAACTTTGACTATGCTGCTTCTATCCTCAGTCTGGGTTTGGCTGTAAGTCATGCACTTGAGCCTTTGTTAGTTGCTAAAATATATATTTTATTTACTATTTCAACCTTTCTGTTGATGAAGTGCATTCACTGAATACACCACCAAAGTGAGCTTAGATGGGCGAGATCAACTATAAGAATTCATTCTGTTTTTTTAATAGATAAAAGTAAAACTCTGAATATCTTTTTCTTTTTAGCCGGATGATGCGTCCATTGTTGTGGGTATGACCAACAGTATTCTGAGTATCAAACACAGGAAAAACCAAGAAGATTCAAAGGAAATAGCTGGCCAACAGAGGCGCCGTCCATCGTATCGTGTCTTTGTGAAAGGGAAAAATTATGTCCCTAAACAGGCAAGTTCACGATTAGTAACACGTAGAAGGTGTGAAAATCATTCTCAGATGTAATGCAAAGTGTTAAGTGTTAACACAAAATCAGATTGACTCATGAGACTGTTTGATTTCTCACCCTTGATTCATTCAATTCTTGGTTCTTCTCTAGGATGATTATCTTGTCAGTAAGCCTGTCAAAGAACATTTGGCCAAATATGACAAGCAACTTCGAAGGTTTAACGTATCCAAGGCTTTGGATACAGCTCTGGGGGTATGCAATTTATTGATTTATAGTGTTATCGTTATATCATTGCTGAGGTGCCTTTTAGTCTCCGTGTTGTTCATTTTACAGTGGGCAGTACACAACAGTATGTGCAATTATTTTGGAAAAATAAAAGTTTAAAGTATTATTGTGTTTAATGTTCAAAGGTATTGTTTTTTTTGTTTATAGACATATATTAGATTCAGAAAGCCTGAGATCACCGTGGCTGTTATAAAGGAGCTGGATAGAAGAGGAACACTGATGAATGCACTGGCAGGAAGGGATGAACGAGGGCTCTCTCAGTTACTCAACTTCATCATTGGGTGAGATGCCAGAGAAAACTGAGCCATAATGTTAGCATTATGACCCCTCACAAACGAAGTGAATAACAGCCTCAAGGTCTAAAAAAAATTACACTAATTATTTGATCAGTCACTTTTTGGACCACAGACACTTTTGTGTAGTTCCTCTAATTCTTGAAAGACGTCTCTCCAATTTTGTGTGTCTGCACTGCAGGAATTAAAGTGAACTTAGGGAGTTTTTTATTTTTATTTTAAGTACCCGTTTCAGGGTAAAGAACCTTTGGCACAAAAAAATCCCCTTTGACTGATGTAAGTGTGATTTACGAATTTGTAGGTCAACACTTGGTTCTAAAATACGCACTATTACTTTACATCTTTTGTCTAGTGTAGAATTTACAAATGGCTGTCTGAATTCTGAAAATGCTTCACAGAAAGTACCATTGCTCCCAGCGTTTTTTGTTCTTTTTCTGTTTCTATTATGGATAGTACCCCATATAAAACATGGGACACAACCACACGGTAATTACCACATAACAACAGTGCAACAACAGTGGCTGCATATTTAGGTTCTGTCGTAGGGGAATCTACAAAGATTCCCCTTGGAAGTAGAAATCAGGTCTTAGCTTGCTCTATGTCTGTGCCTCAGCAGGTTAGAGCTGTTTTGGTGGCACAAAAAGTACCAAAAGAGAAGTCATAATGTTTTGGCTCATTGATTTGAATGCTTTGAGTTTTATAGTTTGCAGCTGTACAACAGATCATGCAGAAAAATGTTTCCCACATTCATTCTTTTTTTTGTGTTTCATCCAGGAACTTGGTTGATGCCAGATTTACTCCTGTCCTCGTAACAGCAGCCGAGATGATCCTGGACATCTATCAGTCAGTCATTGGCCAGTCACCCGTGGTGGACCGACAGCTGCTGCGGTTGCAGGACCTTGTGAAGAGAGAGATCGAATTCCAGAAGGACCTTTTGGAGGTGTTGGGAATGTTGGACACAATGTTTGCTTCCTCCCTCCCAAGAAAGGAGGTGCCATGCTCTGGCATTGGCAGGTCGAATGGTCTGACTCAGGGAGAACCAAGCACCTCAAAACCACAGCTGCAGGTCACCTGAGACTTATAAGCTACTTTAGACTGGGTTTAAGTACCTTTAAAACATTTCTTAATGGACCATCAGACGCAAAGTTCCTGTCTAGGACATTTCGAAAAAGAAAGGTGCAAGATTTAAGAGACTGACGAAACCACAGTCTCACTCTGGTGATTTAATTCAGTGTGACTAGCACAATAAAGATCAGAGAGACCATACATTTACTGTATGAAGAATATCTGAATATGTGGATGTAAAGCAAAGCATTTCTTGTATTAGAAAGCTTATAATTGCAAGTTGAATTGTAAATGCGAGTCTGTATGCATGGTAGTGGCTGAGTTCACTGTGAGTGTGTATTTTTATAATGTCTGACATTGGTAAATGTTTCATGAGCAAATAAAAAAATAAGTCGTTTGTCATTTCCACACTGACTGATTATAATTGTTTAATTGCTTTGAACAATTTCCATTGTTAAAATGAATGTTTTTGTTTATGTAGCCTGGCACAGTTTTATCGCCCTCCATTGGGGGGCGCTGTAACCTCAAAGAAACTGAACTTTCACTCGTAAAGGAGGAATTTGCATGTAAGCAGACGGAAGACCGAAGGCTTAAACAGAGACAGGAGAGGATGCTGTGTCAGTGGAGGCTGAGGCTCAGTCTGCAAGCGCATCAGCACCGACTGTCGACCCCTTCCCAACTTGTAGCCTAAATACGGACAGTTGAATTAGCAGTTAGCAAAAGGAGGATGAATCCGAATTAGAGGGATTTTTCTCCCCCACATATAAGCGTGCTGCCAAGGTTCTGTCGGAGTTTGAGCCCCTGTGCAGGTGGGTGCGTCAATATTTTACTTGAGGAATTAGTTCAATGTATGTTTTGCATGCAGTCTTACTGACAGTTTGCTAACTCGTTAAGACTCCCAAAACAGCGTAATTTAAAAAGCTTTTAACAATAAGTAAAATGACTTTGAGCCATCAAGAAAAAATACAATTGCACCTTAAGATAGTTGGAAGATATTTTATGAGAAATAGCCACTGACGTCCCAACTGGGATGAGCACTTCTGCTGTGTCATATAGCTAGCATATTTACAAAATAGCGCAAAGTCCCCCTACCCCCTTTAAATTGTTTTTCCTTTGACACTCTGATATTTAGTTAATATTATTTAAAATATATATACCATTTTAAATGTAAATGCAATACAGTAATTAAAAAAAAGGAATTTTTTTCTTTAAAAATAGTTGTTTTAAAGGGATTGTGTCCAGTTTAGGAAGTGACCACTGATACAGAACCGATCTGAACCCTGCAGGCTGAAATCCAATCGATTTCCTACTAAACACGCAGGC